CACAGGCCCATCTGCCCAGGGGTGACACCGCCCAGTGGGCCGGACCCTCCCATATCACTCAATGTGTATCAAGTTGAGAACTAAAGCTATCCAGCACAGTTGACCCCTTATCAACTTGACACACAAACACATAGCTATTAAACTAGAACCTTTTCTTGTCCCCAAGATATTAATATCATAACATGACAGTACAAACTTAAAAGTCCTACAGCCCTAAAAAATCCAAACACTTAAAAGTTCACAGTCTCTGTTAAAGGTCTTAATTGGGGGCTCCTGTAAAACCCAAAACAAGTACTTACTTCAAAAGGGGAGAACTGGGCACACCTAAGCAAAACCAAAATCCAGCAAAGTAACTTAAAGCTGGACATCTGGGATTCACTCATGATCTTCTGGGATCCAGAGGGTTCTGCAGCTTCACCTCTCTGACTCTGCAGTCCACAGCACACACAGCTCGTCTCGCAGACCCAGGCTGGCTCCATTCCATACCTTCTGCTGTCCTTGGTGGTTGTCCCATAGTCCTGACATCTCCAAAAAGCTGGGGTCTCCACTGAAACTTAGGCTAGACCTTCACCAATGGCCTCTTCTTGCCTCTTGGAGTTCAAAGCCTCAGATTCTCTCCATGACCCTTCAGTCCTCAGGTCTTCACTGTAACTGAGGCTGCAGCTTCACCAATGGCCTTTCCTGGCCTCTCAGAGTGCCACGTCTCAGGGTGCTCTCTGTGACCCCGTCATGCTTTCAACACCAGAGCCTCGTGAGTTCCACTGCCCAAAACCATCAGGTTCGGAAATTCATCAGGGCCTCTCCCGAAACGAAAGTCTTACAGTGTGTTTGGATTTAAAGATTAGATTTCCTTGTCTTAAAACAAGTTTTACAGGGTTTAAAAGAAAGGACTCACATTTAATATTTCTTATATACATTCTTCAGAAAAGTGGTCAGACTTACAGAGCGCGCTACCTTTCTAAAGTGGCCTAGTCCTTTAAGCAACTTCACTGGGGTTCCAGGCAGGAAAAGCTCACAATCTCATTAACGCACTGGGTACGCTACCCTTCTCCTTAGCACGGCTTAAGGTAAGCCCACCTTCTTGGGGCAGTCCCGTAAAGTCACATCTCCACCCAGGTCAGAGATTTTATTCTCTTGGCCAGAGTTTTCTAAAGGGACCCTTCTTGCTACTATAACATCCTAGAGGGAAGCCAGGCAGGAACTCAAGGCAGGATGAGGCAGAGCTGGTAGAGGATGCAAGCTTGCAGGCTCACACTCAGCTACCTTTCCTTTTTCTTTGTTTATTAATTGATTACTTTATGAGTATGAGTGTTGTGCCTGCATGTAAGAGCACCTGTGTCATGCAGTGCCCAAGGAGACCAGAAGAAGGCATCAGATCATCATCATCAATTGTTAGCTACCATGTGAGTGCTGGGAATGGAACCCAGTGTTCTTAACTGCTGAGCATCGCTCCAGCCACCAGCTACCTTTCTGATGTAGCTCAGGTCCACCTGCCTAGGGATGGCACAGTGGGCTGGGCCCTCCTACACCAATTAGAAACCAAGAAAATGCCCCGTGGATCTGGCCATAGACCAATCTGATGAAGGGAAATCCACAACTGACACTCCCTCTTCTCAGATCTCTATCTTAAGTTGACAAAACTAACCAGCACGTTCTCACAATCACAAAACTCTCATGTTCTGTCTCTTTCTGCCATCCCTGCTTCTCCCCTCTCACTGCAAACCTGTGTAAGAGCCCCAAGCAGCAGCCACACTGCAGCTCGAAAGAAATGCTGCCTTGGAATTTCCTCACCAAGCAAGTGATTCACTCACTCAGATTCTCAGGACGTGCGCAGATTGCAGCCAGATTCTTTACCAGTTTACAAGTTCCTAGCAGAAACCTAGAGCCCGACCACCATGGACCACATTTCTCCTGGCATTCTGTTCTCCAAACTTCTCTCTAGACTGGTCCGTGGAACTCTGCTTACAACATGCAGGTCTTCTCTAGCCTGCAATTCCAAACATTTCTAAATCTTCCCTGTAGAAGGGATCCGAAGGCTGTGAACTCGAGGATGTCACAGCAGTGGTTGCACTCCTCAGTAGCAATTTTCTGCATAGTTTTTCCCTCCTTATTATGACAAAAGCAGCTTAAGGGAGAATATTTATTTTGACTCACAGTGGCAGGCAGTTCCATCCCTCGTGGAGAGAAGGGCAGGGGCTGGAGGTGGCGGGAAGACTGCACCTGTGGGGGAACAGAGCCAGCACTGCTCATCAGCCTACCTGATCCTACCCCTCTGACTTAGTCTGCGCACCTGGCCCCACTAAGGTGGATCTCCCTCCCCAATTAGGCTTCTCTCACACCCTCACAGACCACCTGGGTTGCTTTTCTAGATGATCCTAAACCCCAGTTGAGTTGACAATGAGGATTAAACATCACACTTGGATTTGCAGAGACAAAGGCAGGAAGAGGTGTGGAAAATCCTGTAGGAAACAAGACAGCAGGTCCATGATGTCAGCTGAGGGCATAGAGCAGTGAGAGACAGGGTGCAGAAGCAGGCTTCCCAAGGCACTGGATTCTAGAAGGTGTGGTCTTCTCCATTTGTTTCTGAACTGCAAGAGGGAGCAAAGTCAAGGAAGCTGGTCATTAGCAACCATGTCTGCCACCTGGAGTGACAGCTGCGCCCTCTGTGAGTCTCTGAACTGCCTGGTGCAGAAGGTACAGGTCAGAGTCTGCTGCTATGTCGCCTGGCCACCTTTCATTTGAATATTCCATCTCTAACATGGAACATGAGAGGACAAGGGACACTCAGAACTGTACCCAGCACACTGATGACTGCCTCAGTTCCGTAAGGTCTGCTGTGCTGAACAGTCCCCAGTAGCCCAGAGGATCAGGTTAGGACTAGGGGGTGGGAAAGAACCAGGAAAAAAGAATTCCTAATCTTAGATGGATCGTGGTTGCCTGTTCAGGGAAGACCTCAGACCTAGGCTGGGCGACACTCTCTCAGTGGTGTTACAAAGCAGATCACAAACTGTGGCATGCACCAGAGTTACCTGGTACTTTGGTTGCTGACCCAGAATCCTGTCACAGCCCTACTGAATCTTATCAGTGCTGTGTGGCAAATGGAAGGGATGCACACACTGGAGCCGGGGTGTTAAGTGAGATGGCCTGTGTGACTCCTTCCGCCTTGAGAGTCTAGTGTTCTACCTAGTTGTGGCCAGGAAGGAAGCTTTTACTCACTGATTGAACAGTTCTAATGGACTAGATTTCAATGTGCTTACACCCTCCTCAGGCCTATGTCTTAATTCCACCAGTATGAGGCACTTCTACATGCCAGGGAAAGGGCAAAGAAAGCCTTCTGTACCATTCCTCAGAGGTGCATTCAGCACTCACCAAGTGCTGGGGGTGCTGGAGTACCCACCATGTGTGGGAGCACTCACCATGGAGCACTCACCATGGAGCACTACTTGCACTAGACTCTGGTGAGGTAGTGATGGGGAAGACTAACAGCTCTTCTTTTCTTAGAGCTTACACTAGCAGAAAGAAAGTAAATTTTATTTACACTAAAGGGTGATACAAGTTGCTAGGAAAAGGTAGTGTAAAAACACTGGCCATGGTTCTATGCTTGATGCCGTGTCTCCAGGTAAAAGTCAGTCAGGTTCTTCACCCGGGAACTAGCACGCTTTCTGCCCTTGGGTTCATTTTAGGTTTTATGTAAAGGCTGACAAGGTCTCTGGGCCTTACCAGGGCTGCCGTGAGGCTTCAGAGCAGCACTCTGCACTCTGCTCCACTCCTGTCTGGACTGGGAATGTCCTGTCGGCGAGGAGTGCTGTTGACATGGCGCTGGGGCTTTGGAAGGAGATTCTGGAGATACTCGGTCCTCTGGGTCACTGCAATTGGCCCTGCAGTTTTTAAACCCATTCTTATTGAAAGGCCAGAGTTTCACTGTGTGGCACTCAGGACACAGGAGATGGGACTTCTACAGAGGAGCTGTGAGACCTTGGACCATAGACAGTGATAATAATAAATAAATAATAAACAATTAGCGCCTGCCACACAATATGTTAGAAGCCAAATCACCACCACTGAAAAGTCAACTGAAATCACTCACTCAGTCTGGACATGTGTGTGTCTGATGGGTGAGATCTGAGGTTTTACTAAGAGCACATGTGGTCCAAATGCCTGGAGCTGAGTCAGCTCCCTGGGAATGCCTGGTTCATGGAGGAGAGCCCAGCAGCCCATCTCCTGCCAGCTTCCAGGCTCTCCAGTCACAGATGTTTCTAAGGATTTGGTTCAAACCCAATACACCTTCCTAGACCCAAGATGCTGTCGCCACATGATGTAAGGTACCACACTGTCCAAAGACTTGGGCTGTGCCGCCCACAGCTGTTGGACCAATACCTTCCAAACAGGTGTCGGGCCAGCACCCCTCTGAGGACCAACACTGCAGCCTGGTTGGTACTACTGAATGTGGTCCTCCAAGTTCAGGCGTGATCCTCTGTCACCATGGATGGCTGATGTTCCAGTTCATCTCTGTCAAAGCTCCTCAAGTGATGACAGGCATCAGCATATGTGCAAGTGGTGTGTGTGCACGTTCGCTTGTGAGAGCAGGCTCAGAATTACCATACCCTAGAATTAGCACACTCTAAAGGATGGGTTTTTGGTTGGTTGGTTTGGTTTAATTTAGGTTTTAGTTTTTTGAGATACAATCTTACAATGTAGCCCTGTCTGGAACTATGTAGCCCAGGTGGCCTTCAAACTGTAAACGTGTGGGTAACTCCCTTGATTCTGTGAGTTCTGGGATTGCAGACAGGACATGTGAAGATTTTTTAATTAAGTGCAGATATACTGTTACCTCTGAAGTTACTCCTCAGGTTTGGTTTTAAAAATTGACCTGTAGCTCCTGGACTTTCTATTTAAATAATTGAACCATTTGAGGGATGATCGAACATGCAGAGTAACGCAGGACTCTCCTGCCCAGGCTCACTCCTTTAAAATGCATCTTGTTTTCCTGCATTTCCCAGCACTTCTCCTTGTGAAGCTGAACTTCAGGAATTAGTGGAACAAATCGACATCATGGTAAGCAACACAAAATTGGACTGGGAAAGAAAGATTCGGGCTTTGGAGACAAGGTTGGACCTTCGGGATCAAGAGTTGGCCAACGCACAGACTTGCCTGGATCAGAAAGGTCAAGAGGTACTGAGCACATGTCAGTAACGTGTTCGTGCACCAGACTCTTACAGACCCCACTGTGGCATCTGGATATGTTTCTCCCTGTAGATACTAGTCACTTAAATTCTGTCAGCAAGTAGCGTATTCAGTCTGTGCTTTCGAATGAGCGCAGAACTAACTCCATAGGCATTTGCTGATGGGGCAGACTCAACGTCAATGCCACATATGACTGTAAACAGCATTTGATATATACGTGAAATAAATATTGTTTAGAAACAAAGGTAGAAAGGCTTTTGCTGTTGTAGAGACACTGACCTGGGGACCAAAGTTGTCTTTGTTCAGAAGAGTTCAGGAGCGTTGGCCTCTGGTCTGCTGGGGATAGTCATGAAGCATGAGGTGCAGGTCAAGAACCGATTGTAGAACAAAGGAGAGTGTTTGGTGAAGGTGTAGGTATCTGTAGGTGTCTGTGTGTGTGTGTGTGTGTGTATGTGTATCTGTCTGTATGTATGCACGTGTCTGTATGTATGTGTATATGTCTGCGTGTATGTATGTGTGTGTAACTGTGTATGTGCGCCTGTGTGTGTCTGTGTATCTATGTGTATGTGTGTGTTAGTATATATATATGTGTGTATCTGTGTGTTGTGTCTATGTCTGTGTGTGTGTATGTCTGTATGTGTGGCTCTCACTCTGCATGTGTATGTATTTATCTGTGTAATCTCTGTGCGTCTGTGTGTGTCTCTCACTCTGTGTCTGTGTAGTGTGTGTTTATCTGTCTGTGTGATCTCGGTGTGTCTGTGTGTATGCCTCTCAGTGTGTACCCAGGGTGTGGGAAGCGTCCCCTCCGCTCCCTTAATGCTCACTGCTGAGCTGGTGCTCACAGGAGAGTGTGTGAGTGCACAGCTCAGGAGAGGAGCAGAAGCAGAAGACCTGTCTCTGGATTTTCCTTCTGGCAGAAGAGGAAAAGCTCACCAGTCCTGTGTCCACACAGCATCCCTGAACTCTGGTTGTGTCCACACAGCATCCCTGAACTCTGGTTGTGTCCACACAGCATCCCTGAACTCTGGTTGTGTCCACACAGCATCCCCGAACTCTAGTGTCCACACAGCATCCCTGAACCTTTTCATCAGTCATTTTTCCATCTCTTTTGGCCTCTGGCTAGAGCTTGGTTTGGGCAGAGCCGAGGGTGTCTGGCTGGCTGTCATCCTGGCATCTACAGGGAATGTTCTTTTGCTTCCATGACACATGTAATGACACATGTGTAAGTAGATACCTTGTCTACATTTTAAGCAAATTTATAGTCCAAATCTTTAACAAAGGCTCTTAGATGTGTTTTATTGTTCTCTGTAATGTAGCTCTTATAAAATGCAAGTCACCCATAGTGCCCAGCAAAGCTACTATTCGCACTGGAACCAATAGAAGCTACTGGAGGCTTTACCTGAGTAAAGCTTCCCAAACGGACAATGCAGAGTAAATTTATATTTAAAATGTGGCAGTGTGGAGGATCTCCTGCTAAACGCCCTGCATCCTGTCCTCACACACATCTAGCGGGGTAGTCTAGCCGTGTTAAGTACTGGCTCCCAGCTCCACTCGGCAGTTTTATTTGGACTAACTTCTCTTTCGCACATTTTCTGATTTTTCAGGTAAAATTCGAAAAAGCTAAATTAAATTTGGTTCTTAATGCAGGTGGGGTTACTTCGACAGAAGTTGGACAGTCTAGAAAAACATAACTTAGCAATGACTCGGAATTATGAAGGACAGCTTCAAACTCTGAAAGCTCAAGTAAGAGAACCTGTTACAAGTTAATGGAATTTCATTGTACATTTTGGTATATGTTTTTGATATAGTATGTTGATTTTTAAAAAATTAATCATTTTCCATGCAAGCAAATATTCTTTTAAATTTTATGTGTATGAGTGTTTACCTGCATGTATGTAAGTACACCTGTGTTATTGCACTGCTCAAGGAGGCCAGAAGAGGGTGTCACATCCCCTGGAACTTGAGTTACTTATGGGCAGCTGTTAGCCGCCATGTGGGTGCTGGGAACCAAACCTGGGTCCTCTACAAGAGCAGCTGGTTCTCTTACCCACTGAGCATCTCCCCAGTCCTCAAGCAGATGTGCTTCTGTTCTCATCACGTGTTTGGCCCTGACTTTTATTACTTTAGGGTCCTGATTGTGTCTTCCACTAGCCTGTCAGCTTGTTGTACCATCTGTGTGGCTTTAACTGCGACAGAACTAGAAAAGTTTGTTTTTCCAGAGACTTTTTTTTCAGTAATTATTAGTTATGAGAACAACAAAAACAAAACTCCTCTTTTGTGGTTATTACCTAATAGAGATGCCCTTTGCTCCATAGGAGATCAAAATATGAGAGTTTGGTGCTGTAATACAAGTAACTGAAAGAATCAAACTGGCCCTTCCTGCTGGAGGGGTGTTGGTAAATGACTGCACCTCTGAACACATCACAGAGGGCTACTGATTTCTCTTTCACCTGGGCCTGTACTCCCCGACCCCGTGCCCGAGGCACAGCCTTGTCCCCACCGTGGCTATGTCCTAGGACAGGAATCAGCTTCTCAGGACCGGCAGATGCTGTCTTCCTGCCTGACCCAGGACATGAGTCTGAGGCAAATATGGTTGGACTGTGAAATTTTACTTTACCACCAACTTTTCTTGGAATGCAAAGATTCCATATATAATAATATAATTAGAAGAGCTGGAAGTAGCTCACCTCCTTCAGTGCCTTTTCTGGGAGGGGTCCCTGCCTTAAGAATGGAATAGGAAACATTTGAAGCCACATAAGTGGTACGAGCTAGCCTAGGCTTCATAACTGCATGTGGTTTGCTCTAGCTGACACCAAGGATCTAAAACTTGTCAATCAATCCTGTTTTTTTCTACAAAGATAGCAACACAAATATTGAATAATTCTGATTGTCCAACGTATGGGTGTATCTTAGACTTCCTGGGAGAGGGACCAGCTGTACATTTCCCCCAAAAGTCCAGGACAGCTTGGGGTGGTGGCACACACCTTTAATCCCAGAACTTGGGAGTCAGAGGCAGGTGGATGTCTGTGAGTTCGAGGCCAGCCTGGTCTACATAGCGAGTTCCAGGATAGCTGGGGCTACAGGGAGACCCTGTCTCAAAAAGACAAAAAAAAAAAAGGCCAGGACGCTATTTATAAAACAGTCCGTGAAATGAGTAGACAGTGGGGAGAAAGACAGATTTGTTAGAGCCCTTGGGATCCAAAGTACTGCGCACAGGTGAGCCCACGGGGCTTTAGTTTTGCATCATATCATTCAGATGAGGCTGGAGCCCAGACGCAGTAATGTGTGCAGAGAAAGCGAGCCTGTTGTATAGGCATATCCTCTGAAAGAACCAGCAACTGGATACCGGAACCCTAAGAGACTCTGTAGACAGAGCCAGAGACAGTCACCCCTCCCACCGAATCCGTCAGCTTCAGTTGCATGAGAGGGCGGGTCTAAGAACAGGCACAGGAAGCAGGGGCAGTGGGAAGCCACCATCTTGGCGGTGCTTGGCCCCACCCCCACCCCACCCCGTGCATGCCTTTGTAACTCCTCCGGACATCATGGACTATAGAAAAACCCTAGTAGAATGCGTTGTGTTAGTTTTGAAGGTTGGCTGGGGGGACAGCGTGGGGCCTGGGAGCTGAGACGGCACAGTGCACTTCACAGAGGGCCTGAGAACTGTGCCGACGGGGCCTCCCGGGAGAGAATTTGGCATTAGAGAGGGCTAAAGAAACACTTTTTTTGTAGTCAAAAGACCAGAAAAGCAGCAAGCTAGCAACATGAAATACCTTAGGGAAATAACTGCTGTACTCTAGTCAAGTGCCCCGCCAACAGTGTGAGCCGAAAACCCAAAGTTTCAGCTTCCCGGAGAGAAGCCCATAGCCTGGGCTCCTGCCTGGTGGTGTCAGGAAGACCAAAGGCAGAGTCAGGTGCTGTCACTATCAGACACTGACAAGGCCCCCCAGCTGACAGCGGATGGTGTCCATGGAAACCACTGGGAGCCTGGATTTCTACACCTGCGTTGTGGTGATGACATGACCCACACCCCACTCATGATGTGGAATCAAGGGAAGCCTCCACCCACCTCCTCTACGGCATCACTGAAAGTCGTGTGAAAAGCAGCAGCCAGGCACCCAGGCCCTCCAGTCACAGTGATGTCAGCAGTCAGTGAGGAGCCTGGCTCCCACGGCCCTAGGCACCAGCAGAGGCTGAGTTAAGCCCTGGACACTGATCCACGAACCAGGGCCCTGCGTCCTCCCTGTTACCGTATGTCAGACGACAGAGGCTTGGGACACAATGCCCCCATTGCCAGGTTCCAACAGAACATCCCTCATGATAGAAGACTCAGATGTCCAGGAGAACGAGAAGTCAGACCAGCAGATGCCAAGAGGCACCAACATTAGAACAGTCTGAGGGGTTTTGAAGTCACTGTCATTAAAATGCATCAATGAGCAATTACAGCCGTGCTTGAAATGGATACAAATAGAAAATTGTAACAAAGAGATGAGAATGTCAAGAATTGATTATGAATTTGTAACTGAATAATAGAGTAGTCAAACGAAAAAATTCACTGGAGGGCCACAAAACCAGATCAGAGAAGACAGAAGGGAATGGAAATTACCCAATCAGAGAGAAAGACTAGAAGACACAGACCCGAGGCACAGGGCATTGCCACAGGAGACTTGAACTCCCCAATATCAGAATCCCAGACAGGAGAGAGAGGGTGAGGGTGGTTGACAAGGTCCCAAATTTGACAACAACCTCACCGACTGAGTGGCCCTCGAATGGGACAAGCCCCTCCCACACCCACACCCACAAGAAAAGAAGCAATCTCAGAAGCTCCCAGACAGAGACGGTGTCGTAAGCCGATGGGCGTCCTTACAGAGGCAGTGAGGGAGAAGAAACACTCTCAAGTGCCTAGAGAACAGATCTCTCAACTCCGGAACTTTCTTCCGAAAAGTTAGCCTTCAGGAATGAGAGGGAGATAAGGTACCATCAGAGGAAGGAGAGCTCGACATGTGTTGTCAGCAAACCAACCCTAAGGGAACAGCTCCAGGAAGCTCTTCATGACCCCAAAAAGGGAAAACTCCAGAATGTGTAAAAACAGACCTCTCTCCTGTTCTTGAGTTCTCTTGTTTGGTTAAAGACCAACAAATAAAATAAAATAAATAAAATAAAATGTCTAATGCTGGGTTGGAGAGATGGCTCAGTGCTTAAGAGCACTGCTCTTGCAGAAGACCCAGGTTCAAATCCCATCACTCACATGGTGGCTAATAACTGTTCATAACTCCAGTTCCTTCTGTCTTCCATGGGCATTGCATAACACAGGTGCACTTACATACATGCAGGCAATATACTCATACATATAAAATAAACAAATTTAAAAAATAAAGTCTCTAATGTTTTTTCAGTGTATTTAGAGAAAATGCATAAGACAATTATTTATAAATGAGTCAGGATTAAAAAAAAGAAAGAAAGAAAAAAGCAAGGGTCCCACACTTGAATTGGCATGGAATCAATTCCAGAAGACTATGGAAGGTGTGTTTAATGCTTAGAGCGCCTGCTGAAAGAGATGGACTCAGAAACGCTTACCTACAAATCCCAGTAGCATCTTAAAGTGTGGGGCAACAAGCACATCAAAACAAACCAGAAACTAGAGGAAAACGAAAAACAGAACACAGAAAGCCAGGCTTAAATCGAGCATGTCAGCAATTACATATCAAACAAAAATGGTGTAAATACAAACTAAAGAGTGATAAAAGTGCAGCCCAGCTCAATGACATTCCCTTTAAATATGATTATGGAGGAAGGTTGAAAGCGAAGGACAGAAGAAAACTATGGTGTGTGTGTGTGTGTGTGTGTGTGTGTGTGTGTATGTAAATGAAAAGCCACACACGTGCTTCCAAGATGGTTCAATAGAGAAAGTCCACCCTTCAGCAGATGCTGGGGCCGCTGAGGAACACATGTGGAGACACTGTTGACATGGACTGAGAGCCCGTCAATAATACTTAGCAATTCCTGTGACCTCAGGCTGTTTCAACAGATCTGGCCAGTGGATCCTAAAAGGTCAACATAATAAAAGTATAGATGAAAAACTGAGAGCAGATACACAGATATTCCCTTAGTGATGTTACTGTACTATATTGCTGATAGAGGTGGAATCTCTTAATTAAACATTCCATTTTCTCAGGGCTGGCGAGATGACGCAGTAGTTCACAGCACCGACTGCTCTTGCAGAGAACCTGGGTTCGATTCCCAGGACCCCCATGTGACTAACAACCATCCTTAACTCCAGATCCAGGGGAATCCAACACCGTCTTCTTATCTCCTCAGCATGGCATGACATGGGGTGCACTCACATGCATGCAGGCAATGCACGTATATATAAAATAATAAATTTTTTTAAAGATTCTGTTTTCTCAATTGAACTTTCAGCTGAGGCTGGAGAGATGGTTCAGTGGTTAAGAGCACTGACAGGTCTTATAGAAGACTGGGGTTTGATTCCCAGCACCCACATGGCGGTTATGAATCATCTATAACTCCAATTCCAGGGAGTCTAGCACCCTCTTCTGGCTCCACAGGCACTGCATGCACATGATGCACTTACATACATGCAGGCAAACACTAATAAATAAAAATAAATCTTAAAAATAATATAGTCTGGCTTTTTAAAGATTGAGTTTTTGAAATTAAACTTGTCAGCACAAGATGGTACTAAGTAAAAGTAAGAAAAAAATCATTTTTGTTTTTAATTGTGAGCTTTGTTACTGACATACATTTAAAACAAAACTGAACACAACATTTATCAAGTGAGTCTGTGGTTCACTGAGCAGCTAATGAAGGCTCAGGTTTACACAACAGTGGAGTCGTGCTCAGCCTCAATAATTGAGTTTTAATAACGGGTTTTATCTTCACTAATTGGAACGTTTAAGCCTACTGCACTTTCTAATCATAACTTTCCGTTTTAAAGAGCTACACACAAAAAACACCGTGAAAGCAAGCTATCAATAATTGTTGGAAGTAAACTTGGTGTTTCCTGTTATTTGTAGTTTTCTAAGCTAACTAGAAACTTTGAAAACCTGAGACTGCATCAGATGAAGCAAAACAAAGTTCACCGAAAGGAATTCCCTGATAAAGAAGAAATGCCCTTTGAACTAAGCAATCTGAACCAGAAACTGGAGGTGAGTCTCCTTCCCTTTCTCCTTCTAAGCTGAAGCCTGGGTTCCCTGCCTATGTGGTCTGGCTTCCAGGAACTCACCACTCACTCCTCTGCGCCTTCTCAGAACACTTCCCCTTTAAGCATTTAGTGAGTTAAAGCATTGCCCTGATTTATACATTATATATATACATACATACATAATTTATACATATATATATATATATATATATCAGCATTTGAAGAGAATAAGAAAAGTTCAAAGAATCTGAAGCTCTTCAGTGAAACTGAAGGGCACCCTTGGGGTCCGTTAGAGCGAAGGTCTAATAAATCTTTAATGACCATTTAACTAGTACGTACTAAATCCCAATGAGCCTCAAGACCATTTGCAGAGCACAGCTTAAAGTGCCAGGGTTTTCTTTAAAGGCATAGTGCCACTCTGGTGAGGGTTTCCCGTCTCACCGAGAACTTCTCAACTCTCCCTGAAAAGGTTCACACTTATTCTTGATTTAGAAAACACAGAGCAGCTATCTTTCTTCCCTATAAACAAGGCTGGCCTTGAACTCATGGTGATCCATCTGCCTCTGCCTTCTAAGGGCTGGAATTAAAAGTCTGTGCCACCACACCCAGCAATTGTGTTGATTTTCAAATGTTACCTATTTTCAACTGGAACCTAATTTTTAAATTTGTCAGTGTTACTGAAGACTCATCCTTTACTTAATTTTTACATACTGAGGAGCAGAATTAAAGTCAGTAACACTAATGAACTGTTTCATTTGCCTTAGTAAATAGTCACATTATCACGTTATTTTATGTATTTAGAAGGGGCAGTACCTACCCACATTTCTCTAGCCATATTACCATAACTTAATTCAGGATTGCCTTTAATTGCTATAAAATCTTCCTAATTTACAGACTTCCTTCATTGAATATTAAATATTTTAAAAACTAAAATTTTCCCCCAATGTCCTTAAAAAGCATTTCTATATAGGAAACATGAAAATGTTCTTATTTTAAGCAAAATGTGGTTTGTGGTCTCAAGGTCAGCATGCTGCTTTTCCTCCACAGCCAAGCCCGTTGCTGCAGCCATGTTCAAAGCGAGACGACACTGTCTAGTCTAATGAGCCGTGTACCAACTTGACATATTACGAAAACTATCCGCATGACTTTATGTGAGGGTTGTACTTGTTAATACTGTAAAGTCACTTGTTTGTGTGCTCACGGCCCTATTTTACTAGATATTCCTTAACATTTTGAAATCATGAAATAGTTCTAAAGTGTCCTTTCCCCACAGCACCTGGCAGTCATTAGGAGCTAACAGGAAGTCCTGGACTGATGACTGGAAAGACCCACACGGCCAGGGCTTAGCAGACATGGAATTTGTTCCATCCATATTGCTTTGTGAACTTGAGGATGGGACCCTTAAATTCCGGGGAAGGTTGTTGCTTTTCTTTGTACATATGTGGATTCAAGCTGTGCCTGGTATTTATCAAGCTCCCTAAGCAATGCTTGAAGCCACCTGTTTTCTAAAGCCTGGACAGAAAGGCTGCAGCCCTGGGGAGAAGTGAGGTGCGGGGCTGTCTTCGCAGCACCTCTGGAGCTGTGGCCTCTGCCTGGGTTGCTTCTTTTTTAAAAAAAATATTTTATTTATTATTTTTGTTATTTTATGTGTATGAGTGTATTGCCTGCATATATGTAAGTGCACCCATGTTGTGCAATACCTTTGGAAGTCAGAAGAGGACATTGGATGCCCTGGAACTGGAGCTGTTGGTCACCATGTGGTGCTGGGAACAGAATCCAAGTCCTCTGAAAGAGCAGCCAGTGCTCTTAAAGGCTGAGCCATCTTTCCAGCCCCTGATATGAGATAGTTTTTATCATGGAATACTACTCAATTTTAAAAAAAGACATAAAGTAGTTGTCTTGGTTTCTTTTCCTATTGCTGTGAAAAAATACCCTGACAAATATGACCAGGGTTTGGGCTGCAGAGATGGTTCAGCACTTAAGAGCACTGGCTGCTCTTTCAGAGGACTTGGGTTCAGTTCCCAGCACCACATGGCAGCTAACAATCATCTGTACCTCTTGTTCCAGGGGATTTAATGCTCTTTGGTCGGATCCCCTGGGACTAGAGTTACAGACAGTTGTTAGCTGCCATGTGGGTGCTGGGATTCAAACCCGGGTCTTCTGCAAGAACAGCCATTGTTCTTCACAGCTGAGCATCTCTCCAGCCCCCAGGTCGTTTCATGTCAACAGAGCTTCACGTTCTGGGCTGTTACTTGAATGGGCACTTGAGCAGCTGAGGGTGCTCTATGCAGCCTGATCCACAGTTTCTTCCCCAACTAGCATGAAAACAATGTGGAGATGGCTTTTCTGTTCCTCAGAGAGCTGACTCCTGCTTCACACTATACAGTAGCTTTGAAATCCATGGGAGGATGAAACCGCCATCTTAGCTCAGGCTGCGGTAACAGAATGCAGAGGCTGGGTGGCTTAGACAGCAGACATCTATTCTCACAGCTCTAAAATCTGGACCCCTGGGAGCAAAGCACCAGCCTGGTGGGGTCTGAGGAGGGCGTCCTTTGGTTTCACAGACGGCTGTCTGCTGGAGCCAGAGAAAGGGAACAGAGGAAGGTGCCGTTTCTTGTATGTGGAGGAAGGAAGGTGCGTGTTCCTACAAATACATGCATGTGTGTGGAAGCCAGAGGCTGACGTCAGGTGTCTTCCTCCATCTCTCTCTGCCTTATTTTGGGGGGTAGGGTCTCTTACTGACCCTAGCTGGCTAGCATGACTGCTCAGGGATCTTTCTGGCTCGGCTTTCCCCACACTGGAATTACAGGTGGGCACTGCTACATCACCAGTTTTGTTTTTATGTGGGTGCTAAGTCGAGGTGGAACTCAGGTCCTCACACTTTAGCAGTCAGCACTTAACTGTCCAGGCCCCTGTCTTTCTTAATTTTTTACTACAGGGACACTAACCCTGATTGGCTCTGGCATCATAACTCAATCACTTCCCAAAGACCCAGCTTCCAAATGTTACCACACTGAGTTTGAGGCTTCATCCTGTGCACCTGATAGAGGGCATCAACAGAGTCCATAGAGCTGGCTAAGTCCAAGTCCCACCTCTTAAATAATGGAGAGTAGAGAGTGACCAAAAGAGGAGACAGGAAGTGCCAGCTGATGCCAAAGGATGCTTGAAACTCCCCTTGTTAGCAGTCACCCTTTGGTACCAGAGAGCTCTGTGCTCCAGTAATGTATGTCAGAAAGCCTATCACAAGCAAAATTTAGAAAGTGAAGATTAAGCACACCTATTTTTTGAGCATCGATGCAATGCCACAAGAAGAAATCCCACCCGAGCTTGTAAACTGAGCCAGCCGAAGCACCAGACACTAAACAGAGCGCAACGCCACCTTCAGGCTCAGTGTGCAGTATGTGTGAAACAGATGAGTGTGTGTTTAGACTTGCATCACATCCACAAAGCGTCTCATTATGAATATGCAAATACTCGAGAATTTGAACTGAATCTCTGGTCTCCAGTGTTTGAGGAGTGCTGTGGTGAGATGCCAGGATGGGGACGTCATCGTTTGCTTCTTGTCCTAATCCTTCCTTTCTCAGTGAGACTTATTTTTTCTCAGGATGGAGACACATATGGGAGAAGCCCTGTAGACTGCACTTTAAGTGAATGAGATTTTTCAATTTCAGTTTCTCTCTCCCCTCCCCTCTTTTAACAGGAATTTAGAGCAAAGTCAAGGGAGTGGGACAAGCAGGAGCTACTATACCAGACTCACCTGGTGTCTTTAGATGCACAACAGAAACTACTGTCTGAAAAATGTAGTCAATTTCAGGTAATTATCTAAATTAGGAAGAATAACTTGCTAATTGCCATTGTCCTTGCCATTAGCACACAATCTACTTACAGATGGAAATGGCTTCAGGACAGTAACCCGAGTGGACCCAGTGGCAGCACAGCCCTGTGCATGAGCCCTCTGCGATGGTGCACACCCTGAAAGCAGGGTGGGTGCTATTTCAGAGACCCCAGCTGCTGTGGCTTTAGCTAATGTACATTTTCAGTCAGATTGACCACACACCTGTAATTCCTGCCCATGGGAGGCTGCGGCAGGAGCATTTGAGTTTGACCCCAGCCTGCACCACATAACAGGACCCTGACTCCAAACACAGGACAAAACAAAGTAAAAGTATTTTTTTGCATGCTAGCAGACAGGCACTGAGAAATTCTCAACTGCCTGGCCGTGCAACTTCCACTGCATGCCTGCACGGCTGAGCACCTACCTCTTCACCAACTTGTCAGCATTTTGTTTCCGCCTCTTCTGGGAATCAGTTCCTCACCACTGCGAATTCTCCATGGTGCTCTTTTTCTTATTGATGTGTAGAAGTTTTATGCATTAGGAATTATTAAAACTTACTGTGGTGGCAGCTCTCGTTTCCTACAATCCGACTGCTTCTGTTTTAGTTTTATTTTTGATCATTGAGATATTTTTCTACTGTTACATAATTAGATTCATAATCTTTTTCCTTTTAAGCTTCTAAATTTTCTTCCTTGCTCAGTGAGACTTCGCCGCCGCTAACCTTACTCTGTAGATTTGCTCCAAGGTGATACAAACATAATTTCTCTTTGTATCACCTGAAACTGAGATTTTAAACAAGCATTACTGCATTATAAAAACCAAGTTTCCTACTTAAAGATACTTTTTATTAGTTCTTTTATTTCTTTCCCTTATGTGAGATTAAATATAACACTACTTCATTTACTCAGTTTCCATTTTTTTCAGAGACAGGCACAAAATTACCAAACTCAACTAAACGGGAAAAGACAATGCACCGAAGACAGCAGCCCTGAAATCCCTTGCTTAGTGTGTGAAGCAGATTCCAGCTGTGAAGCCAGTGAAAGAGACGAATTCATTATTGAAAAATTAAAATCAGCTGTGAGTGAAATTGCATTAAGCAGGAACAAGTTACAAGATGAAAACCAGAGGCTCTTACAAGAGCTGAAAATGTACCAGAGGCAGTGCCAGGTGAGGCGCTGTGCACGCAGGTGCCCACTGCTGCTGTCAGTGAGTTCAGGGCGTGGTGTTAGGGTGATGGACACTTGTGATGGCTTTCCAGTGCATGGGTAAATTCAGGTCAGACTTCCCCTTAGTAAGTGATTCTTACCTGAATAAATTCAGTGATCTGGTGGGTGTTTTAACCCCTGGAGTTCTGTACAATACAATAATGTACAATGTTACCAGTGCATTGTGCTTATGGACATTGTAATGTACAGTGTTACCAGTGCATTGTAACAGCAGACACCCATAATGTACAGTGTTACCAGTGCATTGTGCTTATGGACATTGTAATGTACAGTGTTACCAGTGCATTGTAACAGCAGACACCCATAATGTACAGTGTTACAAGTGCATTGTGGGTGGACACTCATAGACCTCTACACCACAAACCATGCCCTAGTAACCACATACCACCCTTTGTCCTCCCATTTTCTTTGGAGGTTTAGACTGGTGAGAGACATGGGGCACCGCTTTGTGATTTATCACTGGTAACTCAGCCTGTAAGTCAGTTTTCCTTCACTGTAACAAAAGCCTGAGATAATCAATCTATAAAGATTAAATTGGAGTTCCAGTCCAGGATTGGTTGGCCTGGTTACTTTGGGCCTGTGGTGAGGAACAACCACACAGGGTGCATGGTAGATTAGAGCACTGGTCTCATGGCCAGGAAGCGGAGAAGGGAGGAAGATGGGGCTGGGGTTCCATAATCCCATTCTGTGCCCGGAGGGCCTCCCACCAGACCCTACCTCCTGAAGGCCTGGCCACATCACCCATAGTACCTCTCTGTAGCCCAGCCCTTTAGCACATGGGTCTTTGGGCAACCTGCTTATAATCACCTAGAATTGAAAGTAAATTTAACATTAGATTGGTGGGTGTTTTAGGAATTGTTTGATTTTCATTATATAAATTGTATTTTTCTTGACTCCCATCATTTTACAAGCCTATGTTTGGCAAATGGTCAGATCTGAAGAAAATGGCAGCTCTCACAGCTATTAGGGGAAGCGTGTGCTGGACTGACGGCTTTTATCCGGCCCTTCCCTAACCCGCCATTTTCTTGTTTTTACCTTTCCTTTTTCAGTCATCGGGAAGGTCCCACAATGGCACCGTCAACGTCATGGTGGCTGATTTCTTTCCTAAGGATGTATTTCTCACTCATGAGTATGCACCTACTTGAGATAGTGTTTATCTCCCATTCTGGGTCTTCTCTCCCACCTCCAAACCCTCGGTTGCTTTCTCCCACTTCCCTCATGCAGTTAGCCCACCCCTTGGCCCCATCATAAAACACACTTTTTGAAGTCATCATCCGAGCAGACTTGTTTCTGTAAGATTCTCTACCGTGGTATCTTCTATCCCTGGAACTCTTGGAATTGTTTCTTAGTCCTGGGCCAGCACTTCCTTCCCCACACTGTGGGATTCTATATGGGGCTAGCCTTTAACTTCGCTTGAGCTCCTCTTTCCCTGTGTTTGGGAGAGGACAAAGGACATAGCTCCTGTGGTAGTGACATTTCTCAGAGACCTGTATGTCCGCCATCTCAAACTCCAGCTTTGCTTGAACAGAGACGTTATTCCAATACATGTTAGAATACAGAGGTAAACAGACAAACCAAGGTAAACTGCAAATACTAAGCACTCAAGGAGCCAGACATCTCCACACCGGATGGGTGTGATGGCATCTGCTCTGGTTCCATCGCCACAGTCTGGAGGGATCAGCCCTTCTCTGCTGGAGGTCAGCCAGGCTCCTAGTTCTCAACATGCCCATTGCCCACCTGCCTGTGGGAGTTGCCTGCAGGATCCAGGGTGCTGGTTCTCCCCCTCTGTGTGCCGCTCCTGGCATGGGACATGGTCCATCTTCTGTTGGATGACAGCTTAAGCTTACCTCGCACACCTGTCTCTACTGCTGGAGAACACACTGGGCCGCGTTAAACAGGTAAATTACTTCTCTAGGTCCTTCCAAAATACTCTGCCCAGGCTTTAGTTCGTATTGCTCGAGCTGAAGGCCTTCTGCTTTGTGTCTTCTTGTTTGGTTGTGGTTTTGGGGGGGCTCTGGTCCCTGCATGTCTGGTCCCTGCAGAGGCCTCTCTGCTCTTTTCAATTTGCTGAAACACGCCTCGTTAGCAAGTGCAGTTCCACCTTTCTGTGAGGGTCAGCCTCTTGACCAATATCACTTCTGTTGTTTTGTTTTGCTTTAGTTACAAGATCTTGCTATGCACTTAAGCTGGCCTCAGACTCTGGATCCTTCTGCCTTTATCTCCAGAGTGCTGGGACTACAGATGTGGACCACCGCACGGAGCCCAGGATCATTTCTTTTTAATCTCCCCTAGAGAACTCTGTCTGGACCTCTTACACCCAAGAGCATCCTTTTCTGTGGACAGAGGCTCAGCTTCTGTTGGGGATCCTGTGTAGAGGAGAAACGGCTATTCTTGAACCCGCACTGCCTCTTTCTTGGCAACAGAGCAGACTCTGAAATGATTTCCTTAAAACGCTTTCCACCTCCGCAGAACTTTATTGTTTACACTTCCCAAAGAGTAGAATAATTTTCTTCAGAGAAGACAGACATTTGTGAACAGAGGCAGTCTGCGTGGAAGAGCCTCAGTACAGCAGTCCTGGCTTGGGTAGCTGTTTCTCTCTTCCCTACACACAAAGGCCCTGAGACAGGGCTCTCACCCTCCTCCCACTGAGCCTCCCAGTAAGGAGGAGAAAGGGGAGGACTGGAGAGCTGGCTCAGTCAGAAAAGTGCTGAGCAAGCATGAGGGAGCACCTGCATTCTGATACCCAGCACCCAGATATACAGCCAGGCACCGTTGTAGTCCCAGAACTAGGGACATGGAGATATGAGGCTTCCTGGAGCTGGCTGGTCAGCCCACCTGGCTAAACTAATTGGTGAGCTCCAGGTTCACAGAGAGGCCCTGTCTTCAATCCATCAATCAATCATCAATCAATCAATCAGGTGGAGAGCAATAGAGGAAGCTATTGAAGGTTCACCTCTGGCCTCCACAGGCACACACGCGTGCACAGGTGCACAGACACGTGCACACGAGATTGCATGTATTAAAGAGTGAACCAAATAATTCTGGAGCATGTTTGAGAGGAAATTATCTTTCATCCTAATGAAAATATTTTTAAAGAAATTTGGCTCAAATTCAAGATTTTTATTTGGGAAAAGCACCAAGAAACGTTCCTTTCTTTCTCCTCTCCCGTTTTATTTCTGGGTATCACTCACGTCCCCTCCCAAGTTTCCGGGTAAATACTGAAGCAGCATCAGTTGTTTGTATTTGTTAAGATTTGAAATCCGCTCCTCTCGGCGCATTAGACAAGTTCCTAACTCGACGGATGGGTCTTAGATTTGTTTTACAAAGTTTGTATTTTACCAAATAAGGACAAGCAGAGGTAAATAATTCTGTAAACAGAATGTGCGTTTGCAAGGAAGTTTGTTTTCTCTTTTTACAAAGCTTTCATCTGACAGAATAATCCACATCTTGCACATAAATGCAGAAAAAGATGACTCTTTAAATCCCTGTCGTTTGTTGTGTATGGACCCTCCTTCCTCTGCAGCGCATTTTGCTGCATCTCCATCTTCCTGAGACACTTCTCTCTCTCCTCTTTCTCCAGCCTTGAAATGTGTCAGCACACACACCCACCGCACGAGTTTATTCACTATGCCACACTGCTGCTTTCTAATCTGGTAGTTCCCTCTGGAGGGTGATGACAAAAATTAATTGTTCTGCATTTTTCAAACGTCTGTGCTGGAAAAGTTGGCTTTTCAATGGTTCCTTGGTGTATTAAGAAGACGCTAGAGCAGCACTGTCCAAAAACAGTGTAATCCAAGTGCAGATCTAATTTAAATTTGGGGTGGAGATTCTTACCTTTTGTTTCATTAAGTTTTTGTTTTAGTTTTTGAGACAGGGTCTTATGTTGCCCAGGCTGGCCTCAAACTCCCTCTGTAGTCTAGAGTGACATTAAACTTCGTCCTCCTTCCTCCACTTCCCATGCTGGGATTTTAGTGTACACACCACCACGTTCAGTTAATGTAGAGCTGAGGGTAGAGCCCAGGGCTTCGACCATGCTAGGTAAGCACTCTACTGACTGAGCTAACCCTAATTTTAAAACTTCTAGAAACCACATTAAAAGAAGTGAAGAGAAATGAATGAAATTAGTGGCGATTTTATTCAACCCAATATATAATATATTATATATAATATATAATATAATATATAATATATAACATTGTCATTTCAAATGTAACAAATGTGTAAAAATTACTAATGAGATGTCTTACATAGTTTCATACTAGGCCATCAAAATCTAGTGTATCATTGTACTTAAAACTGAGCTAAATTTCAGTGCTATTTTTTTTTTTTTGCAATGCCTGATCTATGCTTAGATTCCATAAAACATCAGAGTTGGAAGTTCCCTTGCTTAAATTATTCCAGACAAACTTGAAAGTGTCCCATAACCAGCCCAAGAACCATCAGGCGTGGTGGTGACCTTTAATCCCAGCACTCAGGAGATAGAGGCAGGCAGAGCTCTGGGAGACTGTTCTACATTGTGAGTTGCAGGCCAGCCAGGGCTACATTGTGAGACCCTGTTTCAAAACAAAAACAAATACTGATTTTCCCAGATTTTTAACACATTGGCAAATATTTGATGTGACTTTCATGCAAAATCATACCAATTTCAAAACTGCATTAATTCTTATGTGAACTCAGGCTTATTAAATCCAAAGTCAAAAAGATAATTCTAGATTTATCAGTATCAACAAGTCCTTCAAGTTTTTCTTACAGTTTTGCAACCAATCTATATAATGCTGTCAGCTGTAATCTGACATTCATCTATTAAATCATTGCTATTAATTCTATAATGAAAAGTTTCCATTTTAATCCATGTCCGCATACCTGTAGAACTCCATCATTAGAGAGCTTTTTCCTCCTGATTCTTTTTTTTAGCAACAGTTGACTGTTGCTGTTACACTGCACTGTGGTAGCCGACTGACTGCAACATCCCGGACACTGGCCTGGGGTCAGGCTTCCCCGCCTCTCCTCCAGGAAAGACACGCCCACTTTCCTACCTGCAGCTTCCTGTTTGATATTCACGTTCTGTGGTGGGAATTTTGCGGAGCAGAAAGTCAAGTTCTGCCTCCTTCACTTGCATAATGGAACGTGTGCGCCAGCGCAGACCTAAATTCTTTTCTACTATATAATCTACTGTGTCGTATCTCTTTTACTTTTGAAATTTTAACCCTGTCTGAAAAATCCCCACTGTTCAAAACAGAGACCATCTAATCAAATATTTTACATTATTATTTTCAATCTGCATTTATACAGATTTCAAAGTCAGCCAGTAACTTATATTGTTAAAGTATTGTAACAAGGCCCTTCCCTGAACCCAGGCCACAAGGTCCTTGGGAAACAGTATATATTTAAGGCTTTGGTTTTAAGGAAAGGTATCTGGGTCTGGAGAGATGGCTCAGCGGTTAAGAACACTGACTGTTCTTGTAGAAGACTGGGTTCAAATCCCAGCACCCACATGGCAGCTAACAACTGTCCATGACTCCAGTCCCAGGGGATCTGACAGCCTCTTCTGTCCTTCACGGGCATTGCACGACACGGGTGCACTTACCTACATGCAGGCAATACACACATACACATAAAATAAAAATAATAAATAAAAAAAGAAAAAAGTATCTGAGAGAACCCCCATCTGTGTAATTACTCTTAAAGGTTTTCAAGTATGTGGGTAAGAGTTAGTGAATAAGAAAACATACTTCTACACAAAAGCCTATGTCTCATTTACATAGCAGCATTGTTCATGATAGCCCCAAAGTAGAACCAACCCAAACTGTCCATCAGCTGATGAAAAATGGAATCTGGTATATCCACGTAATGGGCTGTGATTCAGCCATAAACAGGGATGAATCAATGTGCAGGGCACCATGGGAGAAACTTGGGAAATACTGAGGGAAAGAAGCCAGTTACAAAAGCCATTTACTCTGTGAAACATGTGTATTCCCGGAGGGTGGTCAACACTGCAGCAGAGAGGCACTCAGCAAGCCGAGGTCTCAAGCCTCAAATGAGCACACAGCACTGTGGAGGACTCCGCCGTGCTTCTGTGGGATCAGTCTCCCTCCTGATCGCCCCTTCCCTCCACAGTTAGCACATGATATCAGAAGTCAACAGATACCCAGGCTCAGAAGCCTCCTTATCCAGTGTGGAAACTCATCTCCACTGGCCGCCTTCCCTCCTGTGACAAGAGAAGAGGACTCTCCTTACCAGCTCTTTGGGCCCCTCCCACCCACCTCTCAGGAGCGCTGCCCCCCATGACCCCTTCCCCTCTTAGCTTCTGAACTGCCCAAGCCTGTCTGGGACCCACAGGGTTGCTGGAATTCCTGATTTCTGAGTGACAGCTTGGCTGTCATTCGGCAGGAGGGGAACGGCAGCTCTGTCAGATCAGACTAGTGCTGTCATTGGACTCCTGCTGATTGCTCATGGTCTTTCTTTCTTGGAAAGTTCCAGCATCGATTCTGAGTTTATGCACTTTATTCAAACTTAACTGGTTTACTCATTCAGGTTCACATACAACACAACCTCATGGTGTGACTTGATCATTCTGTCTATATCATGGGATGGTTAAGTGTCCTGGAGACAGATTCTGTGTCTGTGCCTCAGAGCACATAATACCAGTTCAGTAAATGTTTGTTGAATGAATAAATGGTGAAGTAGAAGTTTATAAAACAGAGGGTGCGGGGCTGGAGATTAAGAGCACTGACTGCTCTTGCAAAGGACCCAGGTTCAATTCCTAGCACCTACATGGCGGCTATGAACCATCCTTAACTCCAGTTCCAGAAGAATCCGACACCCTCTTCTGGACACCCCCTTCTGACCTCTGTGGCATTGCATGACACAGGTGCACTCACATACATGCAGGCAATACACTCATACACATAAAATAAAAAAATAATAAATATATAAAAAAATATAAAACAAACAAAAACCAAAGGAAACAAAGGAGTAGACAGCAATCTACTTAAAATTAAGGACATTGGTTCATAGATGTTCAGTTTTTATTGTTTGACAGTTTCATACATGTGTAATTTATTTTGGTCATTTCCACACATCATTGCCCTCTCCCACCCTCTCCCACTGAGGTACCTTCTTCCCAACGAGTCCCCCAGTATGTCTTTTGTTTAGTTTTGTTTTGTTTTTATGACTCAGTGTGTTTAATTAGGGTTGTTTGCATGCGCACAGGTGTGGGGTTATTTATTCAAGTACAGGCAACTTATCAGTGGCTACACCATTAACGAAAAGGACTTCCCCTCCCCCAGCAACCATTAACTACCGGTAGCTCTTTAGGGAGGGCTGAGGCTGCCTGAGCCCCTCCCTTCACCATGATGGAATGTTAACAGGCCCCAATCCTGTGCCGGTCTTTTGCAGATTGCCACAGCTGCTGTGAGTGCAACAGCCATGTTGTCCAGAAGACAGCATTTCACATGCTCCTCCCTATCCCGTGGCTCTTACATTCTTTCCACCCCCTCTTCTACAGTATTTCCTGAGCCTTGGGGGGAGGCAGTACAGGTGGCCCATTTAGGGCTGACAGTCACGTAGTCTCAGTACTTTGGCCAGTTGAGGCTCTGCATTAACCGCTGCCCAAAACCAAAAAGACTTCTCTGATCCAAGTTGAGAACACTAATCTATGGGCATTTAGAAGGCATTTTGACAGCATGTCCATTTAGCAAAGCAACAGTGGTAGTTTCCCCCGAGGGCCTATGACCTCCACAGCCATGAGCTTTTGATCAAGTTTACAGTACCAGGAATGGATTCCCTCCTGTGGAGCAGGACTGACTGGATACCCCACAACATCCTTGCCAATGTCACACCAGGAGGGCCTCTTCTTGTTTGACAGGCTGGTATGAGAGCATGCAAGGTCCACTGCTGGGTAAGACTATTGATGACTTACCACTCCCAGTGGCCTGCAGAGCACCTTCTAGCACTGTGAAAGCTGGACCTCAGGGAGGAAGCTGCCAGCTTGATTTCTCCTTGAGTACAACCCAAGTGGGTGATGTTTCAGCAGTGTGGTCTTCCTGCATGGCTTGTGAGCAATGAAGACCACTGGTAATAGTCTGTAGTATTCTGAGAGTTCGTTGTTAAATTTTAATGTATTGTATATCATAATTCTAAAGTGAGCGTCAAAATAACATTTTAATGCAGGCCATGGAGGTAGGACTCTCGGAGGCAAAGAATGAGCTACAGTCACGTGACGATCTATTGAGGATTATAGAAATGGAAAGATTTCATCTACACAGAGAGCTGTTGAAGTTAGGAGAAATCCAAAATAGTCCAGACAGTAAGAAAAGGTAAAGTCTTTACATAGAAAAACATGATGTGTGTGTTTAAGGGTTTTATGTTTGCAACTAGAATAAAAATATCTTAATTCACATCCTCTTAAATAATCGGTATGAAACATGACAGTTAATGAT